TAGTGAAAAAACGTTAAACGAGCTATATTAGTGTGAGTAACAGGTACTTTATATTTAAAGGCAGCACTTAGAGACTGGCATATTTTGTGTTTGTAGTAAAACATGGAAAAGCAAAACGAAAATGTAAAATATGGCGATATCACAAAAAGATACTGATTTTTAGGTCTGGACGAAGGAACAACAAAGTGATGCAAATATTTTGAAAACTGAAATAAGTTAAAAAATATCCTGTTTGACAGCAACGGTCACGCATTTCCTGGAAATAGAAAGTTAAATTTGATTTTAAAATCTAGCACCTACATAAGCAAAAAATGAGCACGACGAGAAGTGTTGATGTTGAAGCAGCGATACGACGAAATACAACGTTGCTCTAGCACCTTGTTACAGGAGATTTTACCGCATAATTGGATAAAGGATAGCAAGCAGTTACAAGCAGTGGCGTAGACTGTTCAACGAAGTGTGGGCGTTGTATGGATCACAGTTATGTTCAGTGATGCGATTAGGCAGGAACAATCGGACAGTAACTTTGCAAGCCATTTGCTTGCATTTTATTCGAAGAGATCATATAGTAGTTATTTTTGAAAAAAAAAAAGTAAATTCTTGCTTTCTGCTTAAATTCCCAAGCAGAGGCAAGGAGGCCATATAGAGCAAAAATGATTGTTAGAGGTAAAACCGATGGACGTTATAATGCGCTTGAGAAGAACAGCAAACGCTTCGCAAAAATAAACTCCAGCATGCCCTTTTTTCTTCCCTTTCTTTCCGCACACCTTGTTTGTTATTCGCTCCACCGTATTTACCCGCTTTTATCAAAACTTTCCTGATTCTTTTATTGCTGCATTCAAAAACATTACAGCTACATCTTTATTTGATCATAAACCATGGTTTTCCCACAACTTTCATTTCAACGCGACTCAAACGGTACAAGTTTTGGCCAGTTTGAGACTGAAAAGACGAATGAGGTTTAACCTCAGTAAAGGAATGATGCGCCTTTAAAATATTTTGTTATTAAAGGCATTAACACCAGTTTTAGCACTGAGAAGATGCAAGAGAATGTAATCTCCCTTTCTCAGAGACGCATTCGGAATTTGTAATGCCAACAGAACGTGGGTAATTACTGTGCATGTTATCTGAATTCCGTGAAATGATCACATAGACAAATTCTTGCTTATAATTTACTCACAATGATAAGGTGAATCCAAGTTGAGCTTTGATGACTTACAACTAAATATCATAAAATGGTTCGTCGTGGCAAAATGCAGTCGCACTCAATTCACTTTGCGTGTTTTATTGCACATCAGTATTATCTTAATAAAACGTTAATTAAAAAGCGAAAGACGGCCAAACATGCTCCTTTTCCCTGCCTCCCATTTCTTTATTTCCAAAATCCTGTTGTTAGGGAATTTTTAGACTCGTTTTGATGGCAAATTGCTTCGCGGTACTTGTAATTTAAATTATTTTTGCATGATAATAAGCCCAAATTCTACAGCAGAGGTATTCCCGACATGCTTCTCATTCATTGACAATGTTTTTAGTTATAATTTTTTCGTAGAAAAGAGACGATTCCTCAACAGGCCTTTGGATAGCCAACCTGATTTTAGATTTTTGAATGAGATTTGACGGAATT